GTGGATTGGTACCGGATCCGGTTGTTTTGTTGTAATCCGTTTTCCCTTGCAAAAAACACTATAAAATGAAAATTCTTGTTCTTACTTGATCAAATTGCAAGAATCCCTTGCAAAAAATAAGGTAAAGTGGACATTCGTGCGCGCAAGACGAAATCCTTCCAAAACCTTAGGTTTCGTAGCGATTTTAACATAAAAACATCAAAAACCCAATGGTTTTTTAAGAAAAAATTGTCAAAATGTCCTTCCGCGCGCGCTGTCCGAATCCCACAAAACCAATGGTTTTTCAACATTTATGTTACATGAGCTCGCGCGAGCTACTTTTTCTTGTTCTAACATAATCAAATTTCAATAATCCCTTGCAAAAAATAAGGTAAAGTGGACATTCGCGCGCGCAAGACGAAATCCTTCCAGAACCTTAGGTTTCGTAACGATTTCAACATAAAAACATCAAAAACCCAATGGTTTTTCAAAAAAAAATGTCCAAATTTCATCCCGCGCGCGCTGTCCGACTCCCACAAAACCAATGGTTTTTCAACATTTATGTTACATGAGCTCGCGCGAGCTACTTTTTCTTGTTCTAACATAATCAATATTCCCTTGCAAAAAAAAAGTAAAGTGGACATTCGCGCGCGCAAGACCAACAAAAAACACGACGATCTCAGGAACTTGCCCCAAAAATGTGACCAACTCCGCTCTCTCTGTCTCTCTCTCTGTCTGCTCTCTGTCTCTCTCTCTGTCTGTCTGTGTCATGTATTGTATGTCACAATTGCAGGATGCTGGGCACACGCGCGCCCCGAATAAGTGACCAAGTTCTGTGGGTGTGTACCCCACGCCAGTGTAGTAGCCACGGTCGTCCGCACGCCACGAAGTGAAGTGTCCCAACGTCATAGGGCGGGAAGCTGGGTTTGGGTGGTCGCGAAGAGTCGTTTGGATATTTGGTAGAGCTTGAACTGCCCCCCCACGAAGTGGGGGTATTGTCTCGCGTCGCATGAAAACCCTGGCACTGGTGAGAACACTGAGCGTTCGGGTAAAATGATTGTTGTTGTTGTTGTTGTTGTTGTTGAACATTATTAATTCTAAAGAATAATTATTGTTGGGCCCCCTGGTGCGCGCCCCCCCCCGCCGCGCCTAGGCCGCAGCCACGTTTTCATCATTTTCGTGAGGAAGCCTCAGGTAATTCGAGTTGATCAAGATCCGGTTGTTTTGTTGTAATCCGCTTTCCCTTGCAAAAAACACTATAAAATGACATTTCTTGTTCTAATATAATCAAATTTCAAGAATCCCTTGCAAAAAATAAGGTAAAGTGGACATTCGCGCGCGCAAGACGAAATCCTTCCAAAAGCTTAGTGTTCGGAGCGATTTTAACATAAAAACATCAAAAAACCAATGGTTTTTCAACAAAAAAATGTCAAAATCTCATCCCGCGCGCTCTTGCGGATTCGTAGGAAACCCAACACTTTTTAAACATTTCTGTCAAACGGGCTTTTGCGAGCAACTTTTTCGAACTTCTGCGACAACGGTTGCGCACCTGCCAGGGCCATCATCCCTGTCAAATAATACCATGCGGGACACATTCGTTTTTTCTTCGCGCGCGCACGCCGAAATCTCCAAAAACCATTGGGTTCTTAAGAATTTTAGCACCGCGCATCATAAAATCACACGAATCGCACCGTAGGTCCTCGAAAAACACCTGCACGACTTTTCAAAATTTCCACCCGCGCGCGCTGTCCGAATCCTAAAACAACCAATGGTTTTCCAACATTTATGTTACATGAGCTCGCGCGAGCTACTTTCGCACGCTCTTGCAACGGGGTTCGCGCGCGCACGCCAGTGTAGTAGCCACGGTCGTCCGCACGCCACGAAGTGAAGTGTCCCAACGTCATAGGGCGGGAAGCTGGGTTTGGGTGGTCGCGAAGAGTCGTTTGGATATTTGGTAGAGCTTGTAATGCCCCCCCACGAAGTGGGGGTATTGCCTGGTGTCGTATGAAAACCCTGGCACTGGGGAGAACACCACGCGTTCGGGTAAAATGATTGTTGTTGTTGTCGTTGTTGTTGTTGGTGTTGTTGGTGTTGCTGCTGCTGTTGTTGTGGACTTCTCATTTCTAAAAAAAAAAAAAAAAAAAAAAAAAAAAATGTTGATCCCCCTCACCGGTGCATATTGTTTTTTCTCAATCAAAGTGTGCCCTTCGACGGTCGCGCCCTGTTTTTGGCAGGGTAAGTCTTCCTGCTCAAACTGTGCCCCTGGCCCCCCGGATTACAACAACAACAACAACATAAACAACAACAACAGCAACAGCAACAGCAACAGCAACAACAACAACAACAGCTCCCGCTTGAGACTTCCTCCGAATTTACTCAGGACCCCCGCTCCCGCCTGAGACTTCCCCGCAATATACTCAGAATCGGTGCCCCCCCCTTTGCGACCCCCTCGCAATTTAGTCAGGACCACCGCTCCCATCTGAGACTTCCTCACAATTTACTGAGGAACGGCGCTCCCGCTTGAGACTTCCTCTCAATTGAATCAAGATGTCCTCGCAACTTAATCGAGACCCCCGCTCCCGCCAGAGAACCCTTCACATTTTATTCAGGAATTGCTCTCTCGCCTGTGACTTCCATGCAATGTATTCAGGAATCGCGCTTTCGACGCTCAGGCAACACGCTGCGCAAAGGACGCCGTCACAATTTATTTAGGAATCGCGCTATCGCCATACTCAGGCATCCCGGTTGAATGTCACACCTGCCCGACCCGCCCGTCAGGGGAGCGCCCGCCCTGCGTGGGCTCCCGCCCGACACTTCCTTCACGAACGGCGCGTTCGCCTAGGATTTCCTCGCAGGTTCAGTCTCTTACCTTCCAGTTCCTCATCCCTCTCCCTCCTCCCTTCTCTCTCCCTCCTCTCTTCCCTCATCAGTATGCCTCTCTGCCCTATCCCCTCTCCCTCCTCTCCCTCCTCCCTTCTCCCTCCCCTCTCCTGCCTCCTGCCTCCCTTTTTCTTTCTCTCTCTATCCCTTTTCTCGCTCTCTCTCTCTCTCTCTCTCTCTCTCGTTATCTCTCTCTCTCTCTTTCTTTCTCTCTCTCTCTCTCTCTCTCCCATTATTTATTTACCTATCTTATATGTGTTCGTTTCTCTCTCTCTCTCTCTCTTTCTTTCTCTCTCTCTCTCTCTCTTTCTCTCTCTCTCTCTCTCTCTCTCTTTGTGTGTTGCTCTCTCTCTCTCTCTCTCTCTCACTCTCTCTCTCTTTGTGTGTTGCTCTCTCTCTCTCTCTCTCTCTCCCTCTCTCTTTTTCTCTCTCTCTCTCTCTCTCTCTCTTTCTCTCTCTCTCTCTCTCTCTCTGCTTCTAATCAACCGCCCCCCTCTTCGCTCCGTCTCTCCTAGCGTTTTTTTCCTCTTCCTTCGTCCCTCCCCCCCCCTTCCTCCACTCTCCCTCGTTCTCCCGCAGCTGTTTTGTGCCCATTGCGGGAGCGTTTGCGGCTCCCTGGAAGTTGTCTCGGGTCGTGCTGTGTTTTTCCGGACGGGTTCCTCTGGCCTGGACCCATTTTGTCCCCTTCAGGTCGGGTTCTCATTGGGCCCTCCAGGTTGTTATTTAATCGCTTCGCTCATTCCGCAGGCCCATATTGCCTCGCCGCAGTCGTCTGTCGGGGTGTTGTTGTCAATGCGGTGCCGTTTGGCGGCTGCCATTGTTCGGAGGCGGTGGGTGGTGGGTCAGAGGCCTCATGGATGTTGGTTGGGCTCTCGTGGTTGCCCTCTCGGTGGCCTCTGGGAGGCAGTTCTGAGGCCTCTTGGGGGCCGTGTTGGGGCCTCTTGGGGCCTCTTGGGGGCCTCTTGGAGCCTCCTGGGGGCTTCTTGGGGCTGAAGGCTGGACTTTTTTCGGGGCCTGGTCCCCTTCTTGGGCCACTCCTGCCTGGGGCCGTTTTGGGACCCTCTTGGGCGCCTGTTGAGCTGTCTTGGGGCCATCTTGGGGGCGTGTTGGGCCGTCTGGGGACGATGGTGGAGGGCTCTAGAGCAGTTCTGGACGCGATGAACCCCATACGTCGCACATGCGAAAAAGTTGCGCACCCGAAGGGAATGGGACGATTTCTTTACTAGTTGGGGCCCTCTTGGAGAGCATCTTGAGGCCCTGTGGGTGCTTTCTCGCGGCCTCTGGGACCACCTGGAGACCATTTTGAGCGTCTTGGAACGATCTTTCGGCGACTCGGGGCCTCTTGGGCCGTGTGGGGGGCGTCCCGGCGCCCCCTTGCCGCGCTCCTGGAGCGCCCTGGGGGCGTCGGCTGGGCACGGAGTACTTGTCGTCCGGGGGTCCCCAGGGGCCGCCACGCGGCCGCAAACTGGAAATACGGCTCCCCTGCTACCGGAGAGCTTGGCACGCCTCTGGCCCGTTGGGCCGGCGAATTTCCCTCTTGGACTGCCTCCACGGGGCCTGTGACGTTTTGGGGCGGTCCTGTGATCCTGGAGGCTGCGAAACCCGAGCAGGCGATCACACCAACTATTTTCGACATCATGTTTTCAATGAGTTCGGCCTCCAAGGTGCGCACGTTTTCGGAGTCCTCTCGGGGTCCCCTTGGGCCGTGTTGAGGGCCTGTGGGGCGGTCTGGGGCAGTCCGAGGTTGTTTTGGTAGCTCTGGAGGGTGAGTGATGGCGTCTGGACCTCATGGGGCGGGTCCCGATGTGATTCGAAGCCTCTTGGTGGCGTCTCGGGTTCTCTCGGGAGGCTTCTCGGGGCCTCCTGGAGCCATGTTTGGGGCCTCATGGGGCCTCTCGGGCGCATCTCGGGGGCCTTCTCGAGCTTGTGAAAAGGGTGCGGCTGGGTCGTCCCACCTCCCAGCCGTTCCCGGTTGGGACGGGGATCGGACCCTTTCAGGAACGCTCGGAAAAGGGCGCGGCGCCCGATGCATCCTTCGGAAGAGCCAGATCGCAGGGATTCTCGATTTATCCCCACCCCGAGTTTTTGATCCTCGTCCTGGCTTCGTCTGACGTTCCCTCGCCCCCCCCACCCTGGAAGAGGTCCTGCGGTGGCGTACACGCCCGCCTTCGCGCCGCGCTCTCCGCCAGTGGACCGGCCGCTGTCGGAGAACTTCGAGAACTCGGGCTGGAAGGCCAGCGGCGCCGGCGGGGGCCCGGTTTGGGGGGAGCTCGGCCGGCTGTCGGGGCCTAAGAGACGGGGGTCGATGCAAACGGGGGTCAGCCAGGGCACCGGATCCTGCAGGATCCTGCGAAGACCCTCTCTGGCTGACCCGGGTTAGCGAGCCGCTCGTGGCCGCGAGGCGGCCGCGCATATTGGCTGACCCGAGTTTGCGAAGACCTGCATTGCAGTGTTTTTTCCTGCATTGCAGTTTTTGGGGTTTCTGCTGACCCGGGTCTGGACTGACCCAGGTCAGAAGATCCCCGACGGCTGGAAGCCCAGGGGTCGACCACACGCAGGAGTGACCTGTCGCCAGAGTATGCTTGCTGGTGCGGGCCCGCTTGGGTCCCCCGATCGCCGCACGCGATGCGGCAGGAGCGCCTTGCTCCTTCGGGTTCGGCCCCCCCCGCGGCCCCCCGAAAGCCGCGCAGGGCAAAGGGCGCTCTCGCTCAGGGTCGCTCTCTTGCGAGTCGCCGACGGGGGGCCGGGGCCGTGGGCAGGGGCAGATCTCACAGGTCTCGAGGCGCAGGCTGTCCAGGACCCCCTCGGGTATTGAAAAGATCCGGACGAGGGCTATGTTGTTCGAACCGGATTCTGCCTCTGGGTAGTCGAAGGCCAGACTGTCAGATTGGATTGGGCCCCCAGGGCCAACCTGGCCCGGCCAAACTGGATGATTTGGGTTATTCGCCAGACTGGATTCGCGTTGGCTCCCTCGCCAGATTGCCCCCGTTTGCCAGATTGTGCCTGCCAGATTGGCGCCAGATTGGCTTCGACTACCCAGTGCCTTGATCACCATAAATAGTTTCGAGCACCAGGACAGTACCGACGCTTGCGGGTCATCACGTGTCGGGCCCTGGGAGGCGATACTCGTTCGACTCCGGTTCGATGTTTTTTTCTGGGTGCTCGGAGTCATTTTTGGGATGTGGCCCTGAAGTACGATGGGAGCAGCAGAAGACGAGGGCTGTATTCCATTAGTTTCGCGCTCTGGAGGCCCTTACCGATCCCCGGGACCCCCGAATTATTCGGGAGGAAAAACACGGTCCAGGCGCATTGGTCGAGACTTCTGGGGGTCGACGCTGTTAAAAAGCATGACGTCGGGGGCCCTGGAAAAGTTGCAGTGGGGGCCCATGCGAAGGAACACCCTGCTTGCCTCCAGGGTGCCCTGCAGGGTTTCTTGGGTTTTGCTGGTTCTGCTATGGAAGGCGTGACTCTCCCACACCAAAAGTCAGTGGACGCCCTGGGGTCTCAGGGTTGGGTTTCTTGTGGAAGTTTTCTTGCGGTCGGGCCCCTACTGTAGCCGGCGGTCAGCTAATCCCTTCAAGATGACCCAGGGTTGGGAGCCACCCGGGGCCAGCCCCGCCCTCGGCCACGCGCCGAGGGGGATAGGAGAGGGGGGAAGACCTCTTAGAAGCACCCTTGGTTCTTAGAGGGCGCGGGCCTCGTCTACAGATGCAGGGCCGGCGCCCTCCAAGAAGCAGCCTCCTTCTAAGAAGCCTTCCCCCTCTCCTGCCCCCTCGTGCTGTTTTCGGCCTCCAGGGGCCCTCGCCGGGCCCCGGGGCCGTCCAGAAAGACGACCCGGGATAGCCCGCCCTGGGGAAAGGGCCGGGACGCCCGGGGACCGCGCTTTGCGGAGAGTGCCCGGCCGCGCCCGCGCACCCTCCGCGGCCTCGCTGCGTGAGTGTGCACCCGCGCTTTGCCCCCCTCTCTGCAGCCGCCCTCCCTCCCTTCTCCCTCCTCCCGCGTGCGGGCCACTTCGCGATGCCGTGTCCCGGTCTCGCCCCGACGCGCGTGCGGCTCGCCCCTGCCGCGCTGCGACGGGAAACAGGTGAGGATGGGAAACAGCAAAAATAACAAAAAAAAAAAAAAAAAATCTTCGACTCCCAGGAAAATATTGGAGAATATGGACAGTGAGGAGGGGGGGGGGAAGACGAAAACCCAGGAAGCACGGGAAAGACGCTGGGGAATCCTGGGGCCTGTGTCTACTTCTTTGCGTGCGTGCTCGTCGGCCCCTTCAAAGACTGAGAGTCTGGGCTCGTTTTCCGCGGGTGTGGGCAGGCCGACGCGGGACAGCTGCGGGGGGGCAAGGGCTGGTGGGGCGCGCTTGCCGCGCCTCCCAAATCCTCCTCCCGATCCTCCTCCCTATCCTCCGCCTATCCTCCACCTCCTCCTCCTCCTCCTCCTCCTCCTCCTCCTCCCCCTCCTCCTCCCCTTCCTCCTCCTCCCCCTCCTCCTCCCCTTCCTCCTCCTCCTCCCCTCATCCTCCGCCTCCTCCTCCTCGGTCAGGCGATCGCAAACATGGATCAAGGGGGCGTGGATTAGCGACGGCTCCCGCTTCCATGGGACATCGCAGACTTCCGCCGCCGAGCGAGGCAGCACCGGCCGCACTTTGGGGAGGGCATCTCCCCCGATCCATGGCCTTGGCGACCGCGCGCCAGATCCACGGATCGCAAACCCGTGCGTGCGCGCCCCCGACCTCCGCGGGTGTCGCGCCCTGGAAGACGCTACTCCCTCGACACCGCTTCGATACTTTCCTGGGTGCTCCTAATCGTGTCTGGGATGTGGTCCTTTAAGTACGACGCGATACCTTTCTGGGTGCTCGAACTCGTGGTCTGGGATGTGGCCCGCACAAGTACGACGGGAGCAACCCGCTGCATCCGCGGGCGTGGGCAGGCCGACAGCTGGGGCCGAGCTGCGAGGGGGGGGCTCGGGCCGGGGGGGGGGGCGCGCCTGGCCGCCCTCTCCCCGCAGATAGGCTTCGCGCTGCCAGGGCAGCGCGGCGTCGCGAGAAGAGAGCACGGCCGGCACCCTTCGGGCAGGAGCTTCGCGGGGCTCCCTTCGCTTCCTCCGGTTCGAGCCGGTTCGGTGTCGATGGCCTCCGATGCCGCTTCGGTGCGCCGTCGGATTCCGATCTGGACTCCGATTCCTCAACAGAGGCCTATCAACCTGCCGATTTCCGCCGATTCGACTTTCCGATTCGGCTGCCGATTTCTGTCGACCCGATTCATTTCGATCGCCGAACCGACTTATCGATTCGATTCTGGGCTCTCCTGGCTCGGCTTCGGAATTGACTTGCCCTCGGTCGAAGAATGTACGAAAAAATACATCAGATGCGCGTACATCTACGAACATGCGAGCGACGCAAGAAAACGGAGTCGTTTTCACCGACGTTGGCGCGTAAGCTGCCCGCGTAAGGTCGCGCGTATGCGCCATCGTGGCCAATGAGGCGTGCCGCGGTGGCGGCCCGCGTAAGCCGCCGCGTAAGGTGCCTGTGTCATCTCGCGTAAGACCCGTGTTTAATCCTCGTTCATGTTACTTGTATGTTTCGTAGACTCGACGAAAAGGTACGTATGGGGCAAATCAATTATGTAGTCGATCTCCTACTCGAACCCTGGACCCTATCGTTTTGCGTCACTTTTCGAGCGAGGTCGATCATCGCGATCTCGTTTGACTTGGCTCTTGATGCGAACGGCACTCGCGCGAGCTAACACCATGCTGAGTTGATTGCTTCCGTGGGGCAGCATCGAACCACATCGACCTGTGCAGGCCCTGGGGACCGAAGTTGGATGCGAGCGCCCGCTGTGAAAAGACGCAGCTCCAGGATCTGGAGGCCCTGCTGTCCTTGCTGGGGGCTCCGACGCGAGGGCATCCCGCGAGGACGAAAAAGATCGGCTACGCGCAGGAGGGGGGGAGGGGGAGGGGGGGAAGGCTTCTTGGAAGCACCCCTGCTTAGAAGGCGCGGGCTCTGTCTGCGGAGACCGGGCCGGCGCCGTCTAAGAAGCAGCCTCCTCCTGAGGATCGGAGGTCGATAGACCTCCCACCCTGACGCGTCGATTGGCGAGTTGGCCGTTTTCGGTTCGCGAGAGGGCGTCGCGGCCGTCATTTTGGCGGGTCCAGGTCCGTCGGTTTCGGTCCTGGGTCGTTTTCATTGGCGGATGGTTTACTACAGGGAGGTTTGTCCACCGCCGAAAGAAGCCTTCCCCCCTCCCCCCATCCACCTCCGCGCGCCGCCAAAAACATGCTGAAGTCATTTAGAACTACGGAACACCTTGCGCATGACTCCCAGCTTCGACAAAAAACAGCGCGGGGTAGTTCAATTATGCAGTCGATGTCCTACTCGAGTTTGCTGGCCGTCTTCGGCATCCAGGGGGCCCTTTTTCCCGGGCCACGGGGCCGTCAGGGAGCGGCTCTCGGGACGAGAAGCTGGTGCTGGGGGAAAGGGGTGCGGACCTCGGGGGGCCCACGTTGGGAAGACATCATGGCGTCTGGGGTCTGTCGAAGAAGGAAAAACGCTATCAGCATGAACTTTCGGCGCCCCGCGCGGATTTCTTGGATCCGCGCTGTGCCCCCCCCCCCCCCGGCGGCGCCGCCCCGGCGCGCGGAGCGCGCTGGGCGGAGCGCCAAAAGTTCATGTTTGTGTCGTTGTCTCTTCTTCTGCTAGAAACACACAGACACCATGAATCGCCGATCCCCCGGAAAAGATAGGACAATATGGGAAGTGGGGGGGAAGACAAAAGCCCAGAAAATATGGGGAAAAGACGGGGAATCCTGTCACTTCTGTGAGTATTCATTTGTGTGTGTCCCTGGGCCCCTTCACGGGTGGAGCCACCGCACCGCCTGGTCGGCCAAGGAGCCGAGGCGCTCGGCGGAGGAGCTCGGCGCGCGGAGGCCTCCGGCGCCCCTGCAGGCTCGGGAGAAGCGGGGGGCGCCCGCGCACCGAGCGCCGCGAGGGCCGACCAGGCGGCCGGGTGCACGGCCGGGCCGAGGTCCGAGGTCGGGGTCGGTTCGGGGAGGGCACCTCGGGCCGGACGAACGGGGGGGACCCCGGGGATAGGGACAGGGGGGGGGTACGAACCCTGACCTTCCAGAGAGCTATGTTTTAGCACTGGAGATTTGAAGACCTAAAAGACGAGACGGAACAGCCTAAAACCAAGACGTTGAATAGCTCTGGGATAGGTTTTTAAGTCGCGTGCTATTT